CTGAGAATAATTCCAACCACTTCAAATGACATCTTTGATGAAAGTCACACTGTAACGTTTAACAGTAGCTTACTCATTCATACACTTACTCACATATTGACTCATTAAATGCATAGTACAGTGACCGAAAAGGCTAAATATCATACTTCTACTAAGGATTGCAGACATTATGGACAACTGTAGTCGTTGTACCTTTAATGATCTCTATGGATATAGTTGATTAAATCAATAAATCTAAGTGGTATTAAGGACAATTCTTTTCTACGAGGGGTAACAGACATATGTAAGTAAGTAAGTAAGTAAGTGAGTAAGTGAGTAAGTGAGTAAGTGAGTAAGTGAGTAAGTGAGTAGTAAGTAAGTAAGTAAGTAAGTAAGTAAGTAAGTGAGTAAGTAAGTAAGTAAGTAGTAAGTAAGTAGTAAGTAAGTAAGTAGTAGTAAGTAAGTAAGTAAGTAAGTAAGTAATAGTAGTAAGTAAGTAAGTAAGTAGTAAGTAAGTAGTAAGTAAGTGAGTAAGTAAGTAAGTGAGTAAGTAAGTAAGTAAGTAAGTGAGTATGTGAGTAAGTAAGTGAGTAAGTAAGTAAGTAAGTAAGTAAGTGAGTAAGTAAGTAAGTAAGTAAGTGAGTAAGTAAGTAAGTAAGTAGTAAGTAAGTAAGTAAGTAAGTAAGTGAGTAAGTAAGTAAGTAAGTAAGTGAGTATGTGAGTAAGTAATTGAGTAAGTAAGTAAGTAAGTAAGTAAGTAAGTAAGTAAGTAAGTAAGTAAGTAAGTAAGTAAGTAAGTAAGTAAGTAAGTAAGTAAGTAAGTAAGTAAGTAAGTAAGTAAGTAAGTAAGTAAGTAAGTAAGTAAGTAAGTGAGTAAGTAAGTAAGTAAGTAAGTGAGTAAGTAAGTAAGTAAGTAAGTAAGTAAGTAAGTGAGTGGGTGAGTGAGTGAGTGAGCGATTGAGTGAATAACTTAGTTGTAAAAATGAAGTACAAAAACAAAAAGTCCCTGTTAATCATTTTATATATTTATCAATGGTTCACAATAGTTTAGCACTCAAACAACTTATATTCAAGATACAACCCATTTATCAAGTATACATTGATTTACTTCACTTTGAATCAGATTAATAAAATGATGGGCATTTTTGTTATGAATTGGTTATCTAAATCAAATTAAATTGAGTGAGTTACATCTTAATGACCTATTTGACTACAACTTGAGGTATACACAAAACAGACTTAAGTGAAAGTACAGTTTGGTGAGTAATAAGTCAATCAAAATTGGAAGAATGAGCAAAATTCAAGTATCATTTGTAACCAGCGCTAGAAATGTTTGTATATTAACAACATAGAGTAAAAATTATAGTTTCGATAATGCGATGGGTAGAAGAAAGTTTATCAAAGTTATGTGATGATATATTTGCGCAATACATTTTGAACCATCTGATCACACCTAATATACTTGTTAAGACATTTATATATGAAAACTAAAAGGTCAACTAGACAGGTTAAAGGCAAGCCGTAACAAAGAAAAAACAAAACATAGTACACGAAAAGAATGTGACTCAGTAGCTAAAAGGATGACGTAATTAGCGTTTGAAGAGAAAGATACTGAGTTCGAGTCCGAGGTAGGACGAAACGCATCACCTGGATTCCACTGCTAATCACTAACCATCTCTTATAATGTGATAACCACTCTGGATAATAAATCAGTATTACCAGGGTAGGTTAAGAGCAAGAACAAATTGTTTTCGAACACATAAAGGGGGTTTCAGTTTCCGTATAGCTAAGACTTCAATAAATCTTAGCATACTCCTTTAAAGACTTTTGTATAACATTACAAATGCTGACTTGATGTCAATCTTATGACCGATCTCAATCAAATGTTTCGCAGTGGAGGATGATGTCTGTCTATCCTGTGATCTTATTTGATCATTGGAATTCAGTTGTTTCTGTAGCCATTTGGGTATGTGTTCACCCATTCTTAATTGCAAATCACCATTGCTCCTCCCTATGTACGTGTTTTGCGCAAATATATCATCATATAATTCTAATAAACTTTCGTCTACTCATTGGATTATCGAAATTTATCAAAGGAACCAGTTGTTTTAAAAATTATAGTGTTAGACGTACCAAATAAGAATTTCTATTTCTATGGACAGTGTATCATAATCAAGTTGAGACCTAACTCATATATTTAACATTTTTATACATAATAATAATAATGTTGAGCAAAGATGGATAGTGGCTAGCAGTGGAATACAGAACGCGAGTTTCGTCCTATTTTGGACTCATCGGCTTAATCTTCACTCTAGGACTCGAACTAATGGAAGGATTCAAGTATATAATACCAATTGAATTGAATGATAATTTCATTCCTAATTTTCCAAAACTCTTTTCAATATTCCACTTAATTTTAAAATTGTATTCTATTTAAGGATTTCTGAGCAAAATGTATGTTAGTTAGTGATAAGAATTGTATTGTAGATCTATTATCAGACAAACAACTTGTCAAATTTTAGTGAAAGAACAATACCGTTATATTGTGTAGTTCTATTCAAGCTACTACTAGAGTCAGTAGTAACTATATTTGGAGTTTGTATACTAGTAGAAGTTAAGAAGAATACTTCATGTCATTCATTATCATTCTACTGGATGTTTTCATGTCACAATGTTGTTGTTCAGATTCACAGTTGAATCTACTAACTGTTGTTTGAAACGTCAACTGATTGTTCATTAAGCTAACGAATGTAAACACTCAGTTACTTGTTGAACGGATAATGAAAATATTATTATTTAAATTGTCCTGTTATTAATAATCCAGAATGTAATTTATCAGTCTCTATTGGGATGTGTGCATCCTAAACAGATTATCATGCAGTTAATTACAAATTATATAAATATATATTGTGAGGATACATGTTGGGTTGACTGAGTAACTATGATAAACAATTTGAATGCATTGAACATCGATATGGATCGATATGAATCAACATTGAATGGACTACGGTAAATATAGTCATGGCCTGGATAACTCTGTTTTATCACCTTAACACAGTGAGATTGGGCAATGTGAATTGGAACTTCAGAGGGAGTATCGGTTTGTTTTTAAAACTCTAGTTATGCCTTACTGACAAGTGTTAACTGGCAAAATTCTTGGGTTTTAGTAATTTTCCCACGAAACATTACGAATCAAATTAGAAATAAGGTAAATAACAACTCATGTTGAGCAATAATAAAAGAAAATGGAAATGAATAGAACATACATTACGCAAATCATCAAACTGCATTACGAGGCAAGCACTAGCTTGGAATCCTGAAGAGAAGCGGAAAAGAGGAAGGCCAAATAACACATCATGTGGGAAATAGAAGCAGATATGAAAAGGATGAATAACAACTGGAAACAACTGGAAAGGATCACCCAAGACAGGGTTGGATGGAGAATGCTGGTAAGCAGCCTATGCTTCTCCGCGAGGAGTAACAGGAGTAAGTAAGTAAGTAATAGATGAGCTACTCATATACAATACTACTTAGTAGGGCGATGTTAGCAACGAATACATCATATGGCTTAGTGAATTAGTTACAACAGTTCAATCCTATCATAATGCTTATTATATATACCAATTTATATAAATAGGGCTACTCAGTATGGTTTATTAAAATTGGACTACCGAACAATGTAATTGAAACATATAAAAGTCAATTTATTCATATACGGTTTTGATTTATTTTCAGTGTATAATTTAATACTCATTTATTGTGTTCATCTACTTTCACGCATTGAACCCTATAAGTTTCCTATTCATTTATAACATTAGCCTAAAGGTAAAAAGAAGATAGTGACTGTGTATCATCAAGTGTGATTAGTTAAATCAATCACTTAATGGAGTCGTTTTTGTTTAAGGAAATTTAATCAAGAAGGAGTTTCGGTTGAATAACTTTTTTATAAATGTGAATGGTTGTTTTTGCTTTTTTAAAAAATTTTAACCGACAAAGTTGAAACATGTTTCAAATATGTGTATTATGAAGGGTATAGAATGGTCGACTTGTTAGATTATAAATTAACTATAACGGTAATTTGAAGCAACTCAGTAAATGAAATTTATTGTGGTTTTCAAGTAAGAAAGATTAGTTCAGCGAAGAGTTCTCCCCTTTTCGGCGAATTCATTTTCAATGCTGTACAATCGTAAATATATATACTTATTTTTACAGGGTGATAATAATACTGATAATAATCCTCGGTTAGACACGGTGACAGTGAGGTTGAATAAACTAAGGTATTGAAAATAAAACAAGGAAAGTTTAATAATCGTTTGATTGTTAATGGCTTAAGTATTCATCAAAGGATAGATAGGGAAATTGTCGTTGGGAAAGGATAGCTCAACATGATGAAATAAATGTTAAAATGGAGATAAAATGTAATAAGGATGGTCGTGGAAACAAAATGAACCAGTTAGGGGTAGAAAATTTAAGAGGAAGATGGAGAGTGGAGCAGATGGCTGTAAAGGAAGAGGAGTATGAAGAAAGAGAGAAAAATTTTAATACATTAAGACCATGGTAAAAGAAGAGGTTGTACCAGTCTCTCTTGCACACACAACTCTGGTTTTTCCAAATGTATGGCTATTGATTCGGCAATGCAAAGAAGATGCAGTCTAATTGTTTCACTGTCATCATGTATAACAAGTTTATTATCAGTATTATTATCATCCTGTATATATATTTTTCAATTGTACAGCTTTGAAAATGAATTCGCCGAAAAAGGGAGAACTCTTCACTGAACTAATCTTTCTTATTTAATGTCCTAATGAGTGTATTCCGTTTATTTTCGAGTAACTTGAATATATCTTAAATTTCATTCTCTATGTATAAACATGATTTCAAACACTTCGAAGTAATTATCGCATACACTTTTTCAACAATCTTTCTCTTGAATTAGTTTACGATCATTAAAATCCTTTTTAGATATTGTATAATATTCATTAAACAAACTTAATATTATAATAAATCAGTCATTAACTTACCGGCCATGGATGTATAATTCCAATAGAGTGTACACTGGCTTCTAATAATCCATATGTAATATCTGTATTACCCCAATGACCAGTATATACTTCACCGTACATACAAGGACCATTGTAAATTTTTGTATTATTCGATAATGTATTAATTACTGTATAAGGTTCAATACAAATACGAAACTCTAATGCACATTCTGCTTTACATATTTCCGTTTCTACTTTTATAGTAGTTAATAATGAAGATGATGATTGTTTAGGACGACCACAACAACTACCATCAATACGTCGATGTGCATGATTATGAAATTCTAGAAATTTTAATGAAAATGTTGCTAAACGATCTAGTTGTTGTTGTTGTTGTTGTTGGTGGTGGTGGTGGTGGTGGTTTTGTTGTTGATTCAACTCTGTTGTTGAATAGATCAATTTAATGTAAACTATTAAAGTGATCAAATATTGAATGAAATAAGAAAGTTCCATGAATTGAAGAGAAATAAAATATTATCCTAAAATAACTTTAATGGTTATCAACATTATAAATAATAATTTATCTTTCTTAAAGGAGGAATTCACTTTCATTTTCTTTTTACCCAATCATATTGAAGCAACACCCCTTAGGCTAATTATTTAATAAATAATAAACATTTAAATGAATTGACCAATCAAAATCTTGTTGAATTGTGATTGGCTATCATTTGACCGTATGGCGCAATTCATATTTTATATATAGACAATAAATGAGATGTGTTAATGAATTTTGACATTATGAAATGATTATTAATTTTTGTATTTGAAGACTAAAATATCCACTTTTTTATATTGATAAAAGTATTTGTATTTCTCTTTCTGTAGTAATTTAGAAGACTCTCCTGGTTTTTCACATTGTACGAGTATTCCATGTACCTGAATTAATCGTTACTATGGTTGTCAGAAGTAGCATTAGCCTTGTGACTTCCGAAGGAACTCGGCTTCATAACTCTTCTAAATGAAGACCTTCTAACTTCCAGGGCAGAGTTTAAATAGTTTAAATTATTTTTTTTCTGGTGAGCGTTTTCTTAGCAAGTTAGTTTTCTACGGGATGGGGTCACTAACCCCATGTCCAACCCTCCTTCTTTATCCGGCTTTGGGATTGACAATATCCTCAGAGGGAGCTCCAGGCGGAGTTCGTATCTCTCTTTATTCATTGATGTTCTTGTAAATTTGATTAGGTAAATGAAATGAACAATCTCAGTTGATTGATCATTGGGTGGTGATCAATGTCATGTGTGTCAAGTCGTTCTTAGTGCAGATCGAATGCTATCGACCAAGTTGCAATGTGGCCACAAGTCTAGGTGACTCGATACTGATGCTCCCTGACTGTGAAGCTGGATGACACGGGATCGAATACGTCAGAGAGCACCAGTTACCTCAAGATTAGAGGTACACCTTGCTGACGAGTGCCAAGTAGCACGAAACTCGGGTCCAGGGTTTCCTGTCGACTACCTCCAGCCACCATTGAAATGAACAATATACTTCGTATTTAACCTTCATGAACATAATTTGAATACCCTATCAGAACTCCATCAGATTTGATCTTATTTTATCTCATATTATTTGCTGTAGTAGTGATTAACATAGTAGAATGCAATTTTCACATGCTTCATTCCATTTTCCAAACTAGTCATCTATATCTTAAGTAAGTATTGATGCTTTTCAGTGAAGATCGCCCCCAGTTCCTAGTTTTATTTTTCAGAACACTAAAATATGATATCAGCGGAACTATTTCATGTCATTTCATTGCTAGTTTTTATTTGTCTATAAGTAAGTGAAGGTGGATACGAACATTATCTAATTTAGTGCTTCTCTCAGTTGATTCACTTTATGTTGCAGATAACATCGAATTTATCAATCTCTACATCTATATCTTTTGATCTGTATAAAACGAGATAATGTTGTGTTGATTTATGAGGGACTATAATTTCAAAGGTTTTTATGATTTCTTAGTGTTTTTCATATATAGCGGTTTTATTTGTTTCTCGAATTCTGAGGTTAGTTTTAGATCCTAGTTCAATCACTCAGAGACTTTTTTTAACGAAGTTAACGAGATGGCCATTTTTAAGGAAAACAAACCGATGGTGAGTTTTTTCAATTTCTCATGCCGTGAGAGTTCTGTAATGGTTTTCGACTCTTTTTGAATATCATCTAGACACAACCGTTTCTGTGCTCTGTTGGCTTATTAACATTTAGCATTTGATCTTGATGACTTGAATTTCTTTATACTTGTGTGACCAAAGTTTATATGTTTGTTCCTTCAAATAAAGCATACAACGATGGAAGTACTTTCTGATTCCTGTTCTTATGTAGATTCAATACAGTCGAAGATGTTGCTAATCAACTTATGAGTGTCCGCATTTGTTTATTCATCTTAAAAATTATAGTTTACAATAACATTTGACAAGTTTCTGATGAGCAATTATTAACAATGAAAGTGTTCTTGTGATTATTTAAAATTATGTTAGACAAACGTGTTAAATATATCTTACAGTGTAAATCACAAATGGCTATTTCAGAGTACAACTGAGCTACCAATATATTTGTCAGTAATAAAAAGTGAATAAAATAAATATGTTCGAGTAGGTAAAAGAAAAAATCAACTCAATCCATTTTGTAGAGATTTAAATTATGTCAGGTACGAGTAAGATTTTGATCACATACTTCTCATATTTTGTTAGGGAATATAGTCAAGAAGAGAAATAGTAAGGGGACATGGTTACTCAATTTGGTTAAGAAATGACTCGAAATTTATAGAGACGAAAGATACACGTATAGCTATCTTGCACAAATGCTTATGGTCACATATATAAATGGGATGATAATAGCTGAAAACATCGGAATAAACTAATCATTTAATGATGGTGATAAATCGCGCAAGTATATAGTGAGATACAGACTAATAAACTGTAATTTTACCCGATACTGCTTGGGCTAATTAACTATTGACTAGTCCTCAAAAGTCTTCCACTCATGAATCCCAAGTACTACATTACAATCTTCACTTTGAAAAATAGATTATTTGTTAAATTATATGGTTGTTTACAGAACTATATTTCACCACGATGTTGTAGAAGTATTGGGAAAACATGTTAGAACTTTTAACGAATTCGAGATTAGTCCAATTAAGATGAAGAAAGATGTGATTATTCACTATCTATATTTCTTTGGAATTTTGTAGAGATAATCGATTATTCAACTGATTTATATCATCTTATTGGTTATTAGAAGCTATACAGAGAAACTGTCGATGTCTCCTTACAGAATGCATCGTCAGAAATAGCATAAAAATGTCATTGTCAGATGAATTTCTTATTCATATCCATTTGTTCATATCAGTGACATAGTAAGTTATTCAAAGTCACAACAGTCATCGCTGTCTTTATCAAGTCAGTCATGCCTTTTTATACCATTTGATTTACGTGATATTTAAGCTTCGAGGTTAGAAAATTGCTGACGAATACAAACTACTTTAATACTTGTTAGTAACACAATGTAATTTAAAAAACTTTGTGATTTTAGGAATCGTATAAACTGGATTGTTCTACACAAGACAGCGGATTATAGATTGTTAGTTGATTTGAAAACAGCCTAATCTGAAATCGATAAGGCGATAATGAATCATAGACAGCTCCAAAGTTTTTCACTATCATTGAACGCAAGTTGTTTATTGTCAGTCGCTGTTCCACAATAAAATTAATAAGGAAACGTGTAGCGGTATATAAATCATCAAAATCGAAATCTCTGTAAGTCTTCGACATTTCATGCTGACCACATTAGTTTTATTGGACTCACCTACAACCGCTAGCCAGCTTAGATTACTTACTTGTCGGTCTATCGAGGTTCTATCAGATATATCTTCGAACCTCTTCATTTCTGACTTCTGATTTGACTGACTTGGTATAATCCGATTATAAAAGGTGATGCTGGTTAAAGCGTTGTCAAACTCTGATTACTTGTGATATCCTTAATGGTGAGCCTGACGTGATCTGGTACACCAATTCGTGAACTGTGAGTCTGTTCATTGGTGGGACTTTGTACATCATTTTTTTAAAACCTAATTTTTACATATTGTAATATTGTTCTAGTATTTTCGGATACCTTTTCATCGTTCATTACTATACTCTATACTCATTATGACAGAACGGATTCCTAAATTATTTAAGATCAAAACGGAGGTTAGTGAACGGAAATAATAAAATAAGAAGTGCTGCACAAATTTTCTAGAGATTTATCGATGACGTTTATTGAGGTCGCAACTTCGTACATGCGTATTTTGGTGAATACTTAATCGCAAGTCCGAACAAAGAATTTCATCTCCAGCATATGGACCCCGTTTTCGAACGACTGCGAAAGTATGGCATTGCTGTAAAAATTCAGAAAGGCCAAATCGGAACTGACTTCCTAGATTTCCTCGAACACACTATTGATGCTCAAGGCATCGGACCTCTGAGAAGCAAAGTGGCGGCCACAACCAAGCAACGATGCACGTTTAACGGCCTCGTAAGTTTCTATAGGCGGTTCATACCAAACTGCATGTCTCTCGTGAGACCTTTAACCTACCAACTTCGTGAAAATGAGAAATCCATCAATTTGGACGAGAATGGCATTCTCCACAACTGAGGAGCTTACCGCCAAATCAACTGTTTCCGTATTTTCTTCTGCATGACGGAGTATAGCAACACCTCTCACGTATTTAGCCTTTGTTGTCCAGCTTGGGTCCAATGTGTTTCACTGATCCCAAGCACCTCTAGGCTGTATCTCCGCATTTCCGTTGCTATTTGATTGGTCTTCCCAGTCTCCCACATTGTTCGGACGTTCCATGTACCTATAAACATTGTTGCTCTGGTTGCTAGAAGGGGCATCAGCCACGTGGTTTCCGAAGGAACTCGGCTTTCACCATGAGGCGTCATAGTTCTTCTAAATGAAGACCTTCTAACTCCCAGGGCAGAGTTTAAATGGTTTGAATTGTCCTTTCTGGTTAGGGTTTTCTAACGGGTTAGTTTTCTACGGGATGGGGTCGTTAACCTCATGCACAACCCTCCTCCTTTACCCGGGCTTGAGACCGGCAGTAACTCTAGAAGAGCTACAGGCGAAGATGAAGGTATCCACAAATCTATCGACTTGATCATTCGATTGTGGTTAGTATGGAAACGAACAAACATATTTGACTCCAAATATGCTACAGAAATCTGAGAAAATGAGAGAAGTAAACTGGGTGTCGTTATCCGACACAAAAACATCTGGAACTCCGAAACAGGAGAATAACTGTCGTAACGTCATAATAGTCTCTTGAGAAGTGATTTGATTCATGGGAATAATCTTTGGCCATTATGACTAAGCATCAACGCACAGGAGGAAATATGTACCTTGGAATGGGCCAGCAAAATCAATATGCACACACGACCAGGGATGTTTTGGAGATGTCTTCGTCATATAGAAGGAACCAGGGCACTTTGAACATATCTTTAAGAAGACACGTGTAAGATTTTGAAATCTTATTGTTGTCCTTAC